ACTGAAAATGTCTGTATACTTTGGATATACAATAGCTATCAGAGCTTTCAAATTGACTTTGAAAATGTCACGGCTAATAGCCTATACGATCACCTAAGTCTAATTATTAATTAGTTACTTATCTTTTTATTAATTATTAACTATTTTAATTCTACTTTTCGACCGCTAATATGCTGTTGCCTTCATAGAAATCCTGATAAGCACTATTTCTGTGGTGGTATTTGTCAAGTTTCTCTATAAAGAGGGTGGTGTGCTATGCACTTGTATGGGGGTTTTCCCCTTACATCCTCCGTTAATTAATTTAGATGGTCGTATAGGCTACTAACCATGACAACGATTGATATCTGGTGTATACAATCATGTTATAAGTACTTTAAGGATTAGAGTATTACACAAGTGTGAAAGTTAAAAGCAAGATCAGTGAATAGCACACTAGCATCTCTATCAAGAAGAGCTGCGCTTAGTGCTTCTTTGTCATCGACCTACAACAGTTAATGTGTATTTACAATGCTATTGTATATTGCTCTTATATTGGAAACTGATATTAAACTAATTAGCACTGAAATGGTTTAAATAAATATGATTTTCATTTACATATAAATATTCAAGAATGAATCTTTTCAGTCTGATTTCATTGAACAAGGATGATGCCCTTTCAAGAATAGGCTGTAACATATGTAATAGATATATATATAAAAACAAGGAAAGGTATTCTCTGTTCTCGTGTACTTTTCATAACATGTTTTATATGTGGGGGTTCGACCTTAGATTTTTATCACGTAATTACTGAAGTTAAAGTGTTAACAGAGAACAAGAAAAGTAAGAAATGGTTTTATCTGCTTTTTATTGTTAACGGTGTGAGATTAAAGAAGAAATAGCTTGAAGTTGGATTCATTTACCTTATCCAGAAATATCCAAAACAATAAATAGTTTGAAGTTGGATCCATTTACCTTATCCAGAAATATCTAAAATCTATAAAATAACTTGAAGTTGGATCCCTTTACCTTATCCAGAAATATCCAAAACTATAAATAGCTTGAAGTTGGATCCCTTTACCTTATCCAGAAATATCCAAAACTATAAATAGTTTGAAGCTGAATCCCTTTACCTTATCCAGAAATACACAAAACCTATAAATGTGTGATGTCCTACCCCTACTATGTATATAAACACATCCGTTTACAAAGAATGTACATATATTGATAACGCCAAGAACTTTTCGGCCGCAGATTATAAACGGGTAAACATTCTTTTATACGAAGGCTTTGCACATCATTGGCCCTTGTTAAGATCTTAAAATAATTTGAATGGACGACTACGTCACCTTAACCTCGCGCGTATTCCTATACACTTGATTTATTCGGCGTTCTTTCAAGCAGTCTTCTTATAGTAGAGTCTATGTAATATTGCTTGCAATAAGAACAGGTAAATTCATAAACAATTTTGATGTTTTCAGTAGAGAAATACGACCTTCTCATGTGAAGACGATATCCTGGTTTAAAAATACACCTTATTTGTACATGCGGATACACTGAACTTAGTTGTTTTTTAACATATAAAAATTTTTACCGATGTATTTCACGGTTACATAGACTGGGCATTTAGAAACTTCATACGTTGATGGTTTACTAATGTGTCTTTTGTTTAAAGAGTCACAAATTATTCAATCAATCAAATAGTTAACAAAACCATCGTTACATAATAACTCTTGGCGAATTTCTAGTCATAGGTGATTGAGATATTATACGCACAACGAACTAATACCGTCGCCGTTTTTTCTGATATACAATTGTTATATAACTTTTCAACTTCAAACAAAAGCTGAACTTTATCACTTTACGTTCATGTTTCTCATCATAATCATGAATTAAAAATACATTTTTTTTATGTCCAACAGTAAATTTAATAGTATTATGTTTGCTAGTTAAATACTTCACAAATTAAGAAACATAATCGGGGTCCATGAAGATATTAAAAGTGTCATCAACATACCTTCAGCATTATAAACGCTTAAAAGATTGTGGAAAATCTTCCAAGTATTGTTTTTCATGAAAACAAAGAAAATATTAGTTAGAGAAGAAGCATCTGGATCCCATAGCTACACTATCAAAATGGTCATAAAGATTACCATTGAACAATAATGCGATTCCTTAGTTTCAAATATCATTAACTTCAAAAACCACAGAGTTGAAATGCATAAATTGTTGGAATCGCCATTAAAAATTAAATCTTCAGTTAAATATTGTTTCTTCCAAAAGAATGTTAACATACAAGGACTCAGTGTTAAAACTGGAACAATAAACCTTACTTTCAAACTTAGATTTTTGTATTTCAATAGAAATTTCTAAAATCTCTTTAATCAAAGGCGTATTTGTTATTAGCATAATTAATAAAAAAAATAACAGCTAAATAACCTTCTAAAACATGATTATAAATTCCAATATTTGAGACTAAAGGTTTGGTTTGTTTGTTTCGAATTTCGCACAAAGCTAAAGCCCTAAATTAGCGCTGATAGATTAGAAGGAAGGCAGATAATCAACGCAATCCACTGCCAGTTCTTGGACTACTCTTTTGTCAAAGAAATAGTGGGAATGACCGTCACATTATAACTCAACCATGGTTGAAAGAGGGACGGTCTAATTTCTGAGTATTGTGACTGAGTTAACATATATTTCTCTTAACTTGTTTGTTTCTTCGTTTGTTTATCGCAAAGCTATACAACGGATTATCTGTGCTCTGCCCATTGCGGGTATTGAAACCCAATTTTTAAGTTATAAAATCTCAGATATACCGCTAAGCCACCGAGGGGCTATTTAATTTCAAGAGGTATCTTTGTAAATTTATTTCTATAGTGGCCCCCCCACGGCTCAGCAGTATGTTTGCGTACTCACAACGCTAGAATCCGGGTTTAGCTACCCGTGGTGGGCAGAGCACAGATAGCCTATTGTGAAGCTTTATGCTTAATTACAAACAAACAATTTCTATAGTGTCAGAAGGATCTTCGTCAAGCTTGACAAATTTGTTTGGACCACCCAAGATATTATCAACTTTACTAAAACATTCCATTTTATCCAAAATAACTAAACGATTTCCTTTATTAGAATTACAAACAACATTATTTTCATTTTTACTATATTTTCTAGTACTGACAACTCTCATTTAAGTACATTTAAAAATTGATATTTAGAGTTATAATTATTTAAAGAAGCTATTCCACTAACCTGAGCTCTAATATTACTGATATATTCTCCAGATTTAGAGCAATCTGGTTTTTGGATAGTAAATGTAAGGCAGTTCAAGTTGTAGAAAATAATCTTCAAATTTTTGCTTGTTAGGTTTACTGAATATTAAACCGAATGCTAATACTTTATTTTCAATCTCACTCAAAACATAACTAGAACAATAGAAAAATTGTTTTTCAACTATTGTTTAACCTTGTGTCGATTTAACTTTGGTAATTTAATGATATGTTTTTCCTATTGCTTGTTTGTTTGTTTTGAATTTATGCACAAAGCTACACAATGGGCTATTTGTGCTCTGCCCACCACGGGTATCGAAACATCGAAATCCGGTTTCTAGCGTTGTAAGTCCGCAGACATACCGCTGTGTCACTGGGGGCATGTTTTCATACACTGTGCAAATTCATTTTTTTTGTATTTTTATAAACTTTTTAAAATGTTAAAAATTGGGACTGTTAACTTATTTTACTAAACCAAAGGCGTCTATTGATTTCAGCAAAATATCATTTTGTTTAACATAGAAATTAAACAATTTTTTTACCTTGTGATATTGTTATATAAATCATAAAATTCAAAAATGTGAATTCATATTGAACTTATTTTTAGAACATTTGGGAAATTCCTAAAAATGAAGTAAAGTAGATTTATCACAATGTCTTCTAATAATGTTATCGACCGAATCGCTCAGAGGAAACCAAAAATACTAAAAAGGTTTACAAACAAAATATTTGCCCCGGCATGGCCAGGTGGTTAGGGCGCTCGATTCGGGTTCGAATCCCCGTCACACCAAACATGTTCGCCCTTTCAGCCGTAGGGGCGTTACAAAGTGACGGTCAATTCCACTTTTCGTTGGTAAAAGAGTAGCCCAAGAGATAGCGGTGGGTGGTGATGACTAGCTGCCTTCCCTCTATTCTTACACTGCTAAATTAGGGACGGCTAGCGCAGATAGCCCTCGTGTAGCTTTACGCGAAATTCAAAACAAACAAACAAACACCAAGTTATGGTAAGAAAATGTTATCGTCTAACTAAGACATGTAAACGGTTGTAAATAGAAGAAATAAGGTAAGTTATAACAAGCTGCAATTTTAAAGCTTTATTGACTTCATAAATTGAGGTTGAAAATTGACCAAGTCAGTATTGATTATACATTGCTGTTTGTCAAAAAGGATCATTAATATAAAAAAAACAACTTTAGAGACAATGAATACCCAGTTAAAAATAAGTCAAGGATGAACAACTGCTAAATATAACACCAGCGTAGCTGACATAGATCCCAATATTTTTACATTATCTTTGAATTCACTTACAAGATTGACACCCACTTACAAACCAGCAAACATACTATGTTTTTAACGTCTCTATATCCTTGGGAATCTCACACCAAAGAAACAAGGGAGTTTTTACCCAAACACCTAAGAAAGGGTACAAAGATGGTTATTCTCCTTAAGACTTCAACAATTTTGTCAAAGTCTAATACATGCGAAAATCGCATGAACTAGGAAAACAAAAACGATCGATTATGTTGTGCTCTTAATATTCGCGTATCATTAAACTCCAGGATTGTTTCATTTGTATGATTACTTGTGAATTTGTGAACACGCAAAATATATTCTTTTATTAATAGCAAGATAAAAAGTATAAATCTCCTTGAGGAATTCCAATTTTTGTTTTAATAACTATAAAATTGCTGTTTATATATACATATATATATATTAATCAAAGTCATGGATTTAAACATATTCTATTTTTTATACATCTAGATAACGGCAAAATTCAGAGTTCAATCCCTAAGAAGATCAAAACAGGCATCACACTAGGATGTTAAACGAACATATAAGCCGTCAACAATGTCTGAATTACAGAAACGCACTCCCGTTCATATATAGTATTGTTGTGAAGGTAAATATATTCAACCATTGATTAAATGCATTTGTGGAATATATGGATACATTTTAAAGAACGACATTTTAGAAACTTGAAATATCGTTCTATTCAACTTAAAAGACGAATGTCATTACGTATGCATTAGAACTCTAAACTGTTATATTTATTTTTAATAAAAAATATATTGTCGTCATAGAGATGCTTCTGAAATCCCACGTTATTAATAGTATCGATAGATTGTGTTCTGCTCATGTGTTATCACGAATATACTAATGAACCACAAATTATTCGCTTTGTTTCAAAACTTGTCTGAAGTAGGCCTAAGGCTGATACGTTGAATAAGACAAATGTATCTGGATAGGCCAGTAGAAGACTAACAAGATTATTAATTACGCGTACGTGTTAACTGCCCAACACTTGCTCTCTTCTCCACTGCTGAACATAAATTATGTATAGATAAACAGACAAGTAGGTAAATAAACAATAGAGATGATTAGCTTCAAGAATACGGAAACGAAATGTGTAATATACTGTAAAGATTGTGTTAAATAGCGGAATGCTGAAATACAAAAGTATTGATTCTATTGAAATATTCAAAGATAAAGAAAACTGTCCATCTATGGTTTTGTTTCGTTTATCTCGTGATTTAAAATAACTTATTGTACAAGCTTTATAATTCAAAGAAAATGTATTTTATGATTTATAAGTATTAAACACTATTATTATTATCTATGTTGAATTTATATAAAAGTTAGTTGGAATATATATCTATATTAAAACACTCACTTACTTTCAATGGAATATTATGCATTAAATGGCCATTTTACTGGGATATTCACTATCTTTTGGTGCAGTTATAGTTTTGACGATGTGTTGAAAGAATACAAATGTCGGAGGGCATGTTTTTCGATTACAGCCAGAAGTAGGGTTTGTAAATGATTCACAAATTCACCAGAGAAGTACCGAGGTTTAGGCTTATTTTAAAGCTGCTCAAACGGATGGTGAATGAAGTCACCATAATAATCTTTGAACTAATTTCAGAAAGCTCTTGTCCATCATGTTAGCAAATAGTGTATTGTGGTGTGGTTAGGTTTGTTTGTTTGTAATTAAGCACAAAAC